GGAGCCCTGTGTCCAAGCCGGCATCGCAGGATGGGGACACTGGCCAGAGGGGATGGACCCCCCTGTCCTCACAGCCCCCCCGGGGCCCCCGTACCCGCGAAGACGCCCTTGGCCAGGCACTCCTTGACGCGGTTGGCGCGGCGCACGTGGAAGGCCTTGGTGATCTCCTGGTTCATGAAGCTCTCCTGGTTGAGCTCGTTGGCCACCATCATGCGCAGGTCGAACACCTCAAGCAGCTCGGCCACGGCGCCCACCTGGCGCAGGTCGGCGCGGGGCCGCTCCAGCCTCCCCGTGTACAGGTACTCGAGCACGGCGCGCAGCGGCTCCGGCCGCACGGCCCCGTCCATGGCCACCACCGCCACGCGCCGCGCCCGCCCCGCCGCCGGCTCCGACACCTCCTCCCAGCGCAGGCTCAGGAACCCGCGGCCCCACCCCGACAGGTCGCGGGTGCCCCCGTCCCCCTCGCCGGGCGGCCCCTCGAGGGTGAACAGGTCGTAGAAGCGGGAGCAGGCGGTGGCCAGGAAGACGCGGTGGGCGAAGACGCGGTGCCCGCCCTGCAGCTGGAAGGCCACGTCGGCGCAGAGCGGGGCCCGGAACAGGGCGGCCGGGCCCCCCCCCCCAGCCCGGGGGGCGCGTCGGGCACCTGGATGAGGGGCGGGGGGGGCTTGGGGGGCAGGAAGGGCGCCTGCAGCAGCGGGCGCTGCATCTTGCGCAGGTGGGACTTCCAGAACTGCAGGTGGCGGCGGGACACGAGCGCGGCGCGGATGGCGTTGTCGAACACGTCCTTCACCCCGAACTGCGCCACCACACTCGTCTCGTAGTAGGGCACCCCCAGCTCCTGCGCCACCTCGTGCCCCCGCTCCGGCGGCAGGATGTCCGAGGGCTTGATGGGCCTGCAGGGGCACGGACAGGGCAGGGGCTGGGGAGGCTGAGCAGCGGCTCCCCGGGCATCCCAGGGCGTGCCGGGGGCTCTGGGGGGGACGCCCCAACCCAGGAGTGCTGGGGCGGGCAGGGGCTCTACCCCACAGGTGCTGTCAGGGGCTCCCACCCAGGGGAGTCAGGGGGGACGAAGGCACGGGCAGGGCAAAACTGGGGGGCCCCTGGGCAGCAGAGGGAGGGGTCCCCATTCCCGTGGGGCTGGCTGGGGTCCCCGGGATGGTACACTGGGGGGTCCCCGTGGGGCCGGGGTGGTCCCGGCGCACTGGGGGTGCCCGGGGTGGGTGGCCCGGGGGCTCACTTGGCCAGCGGCCGGCGCGCGCGGTTGACGGCGTCCAGGTCGGCGTAGCGCAGGTCCAGCTGGCAGCCCACCAGCACGATGGGCGTGCGGGGGCAGAAGTGCTTGATCTCGGGGTACCACATGGTCTTCACGTGCCGCAGGGAGTTGGGGTTGGCCAGCGAGAAGCAGAGCACCACCACGTCCGACCTGGGGGGCACGAGCGGGACGGGGAGGGCAGCGCTGCCCTGGGGCCACCCCGGTGTCACCCCACGGCCACAGGCACCGTCACCCTGCGGCTCCAAACACCCCCTGCCTGGGGGGCACCATCCTGGGACACCCGTCACTGCCCCCAGCCTTCAGGAGTCCCGGGACCCACTGAGAGCCCCTTGACTGTGGTGGCCCCACAGACCCTCAGAAACCCCACAGACCCCCAAGGCACCCCCAGACTCCCAAGAGTCCCACAGACCCCCAAGAGTCCCATGGCCAGGGGAGCCCCATGGTCCCCAGAGGGTCCCAGGACACCCTGGGAGCCCCACAGCCCCCAGGGCCCCATGATCTCCCCCAGGAGCCCCACAGCCCCCAGGGCCCCATGGCAGGGGCAGTGAGGCCAAGGAGGGACCCGATGGGACCTGGCTCCGAGTCACCCCATCAGCCAAGCCATGGGCTGCCCTTGCTTGTTGCCGCACCCGGGGGGGTCCTGGCCCCCGAGCATCCCCGGGGGGGTCCCACAGGGGCTGGCCGGGTGGGTGCCAGCCCCCAGCACCGGGGACAGACCCTGCCC